GAAGCAGCTGTTGAAACACTTTGTCTGTGCACCCCCCACAATCCCAGCACACATGCATGCACACACATCCAGAGACAGTAATGGCCAAAAGTTACATCTCATTTCCATCTCAAATATGAGATCTGATGATAATTTGAATTAGAACTTCATAATGCACACGATGGCGTCATTTGCTTATTGCTATAAAAAGGATTGCCTTTATCAAGTTACCATGGATGTGAGTCATTTAGTGACCTGGGGTTAAAACAAACCAGGCCTGCTGGCAGTCAGAGATTAAATCTTGCAAAGTATGAGTCAGGACGACCCTGACCAATGGCTAACTCCGCTCCAAAGTAGACATGACGTCCTCCGGGCATTCCCAACCCGGCGCTGCAGACGTGACAGCAGGGTCCACAGGCCCTTTAAACACATCGTCACCCTCCACACTGACATCTTTTTCCAGTGAAACGCACACAGGCTCATTATTTAAAGCCCCCCTTTTACCAACAGACCGGTAAAAGCTAGACAGGCACTTTATGTTTAAGACAGACTGCAGTGTAGGCGTGCTATCCAGACTGACCTTTACTAATGTTCCCAGCCTACTGGCCTGATTATCAAAGGTGCACATGAAGTTTGACAACAGAAAATTAAATCTGCTTTTCAGGAGGCCAATAAATTAAGACAAAAAATGAGTCACAGTTAAAGCTCCTCCAATGGAAAACAGCAAACAATTTCTGCCGTCGGACAAAGAGGTCCATTGTCTGCACGCAATGACGAGAACCTGGATGAAGAAAAGCTTGGCAGCACAAATATACAACGACCGGTGCTCCTGCAGCTCAAACACTCACAGGTTAGATTTAGAAACAGGTCCATAGAAAAGGACAGTAGTGAAAACAAAAACAGAAATGAGGCTGATCATATATGGAGACACACAGAGAAAACATGTGTAGCCAAAGAGATCTTAGTCCAATGTCAATATTAGTTCAACTCTAACCCTGTTTGAGAGGGTAAACTTCAGGAGAGTGACCTACATGGACTGGCTGACCTCGGCATGTTCTCGTCATGGCAAAACCATCCATGAGTTAATGCACATCACCGACACGTCACTGGAACACACGCGGGGACTGGAACATATTACTGTCTCCATCAGAGGGTCATCCATCATTGGACATAGCTTTTTAAATGGCACTATAATCTCACTCTGCTCAGTTCAAGCCCCCAAAAACAAGTTAATAAAGGTCAAGTGTGCAGGATTCAGTGAGATATAATGGCAGAAATGGAATGTAATATAATAAGTATGTTTTCTTTAGTGTATAATCACCTGAACCTACAAATCATTGTGTTTCATTACCTTAGAATGAGTCGTTAATATCTACATAGGGAGTGGGCATTGTCCAGAGAGATCACCTTGTTGCACCACCATGTTTCTACAGTAGCCCAGAATGGACAAGCCAACCATTGGCTCTAGATACGGCCATCTGTAGTTGGCAGTCCCTTCTGTGACAAGTACTTTCTACCTGTTTAAATCATCTAGTCTGGACCCCAAACCAGTCTGCGTACTTTTTGGTCTAACTCTGAAGGAATCCCGTGCTATCTTACCAAATAAAGCCCACGCAGTTATAGCTTTCACTATTCTCCTAGCTAGACGTTTGATCCTTCTAAACTGGAAGCGATGCGATCCCCTATCCTTTTCTCATTGGGTCAGAGATGTGATGTATTTCTTAAATTTAGAAAAATTCATTTACACACTCAAAGGGTCCTCTCAAACCTTTATTAAGATATGGAGTCCCTTTTTGGACATTTTTGATTTGCTACAGAAACCTCTCGAAAAAGAATAAGGTGGTAACTGTACCGGTACTCCTCTTTTCTTTCCTTTTCCCCTCTCTTTCTACATTTGTTTGAGTAATTAATACAACTATTTGGTGAGGTTCTGGTAGCTTCCTTCCTTCACCTGAATGTATCTTGTAACCTGTAATCCTATGGATGGGTGGGCAGGGTAGTAGTGATGGAAGCGGGGATGCTGATTTCATGTTTTGTATCTTTGTTGTGGGATAAAGACATTGAAAATCGATAAAACACATTTACAAACAAAAAAATCTGCTATGCTCTTTTTGGAAAGGGAGAGACCTCTGTGGATAATTCAGCTTGTGGTAAAAACCTCCTGAATGACTGGAACTTAAGTTATCACAGACAAAAGGTGAGCACACATTATCAGGTGCTGGGCTAGTGGCCCATCTCTGACATGCCAAACAGCATTGGAGAAACACTGATTTGTAATGTGAAACTTCTTCATTCAGCGTTTTTACTGGTTTAAATCACTGGGTTTGTTTGTTTTGAGGAGAAGGAGACTTCTGCGGATGATTCAGCTCCTGGTAAAAACTTCCTAAACATGAACACAGAGAGAATTCGAACCAGGAGAAGTTTCAGCTGATTGCAATTTTCAATCATCACCTCTAGATGCCACTAAATCCCCCTAAATCTTACACACTGGACCTTTAAAATGTATGTTTCAGCAAAAATGCACCATTCAACAGGCACCAGAAACTGTCTCATCCTTTATACACTCCAGACTGGGTCTGTTATTATTTACAGCCCCTGACCTTTGGCTCCTTCTATCTCCAGTATGATCCACTCCCTTATCCCTGCCTGGCACCGCAAAAAGAGGAGTCAGTTACTGTTGTGTGATTATGAAGTGTTTGAGATGAGTCCTCTGAAGTTCTTCCCATGATGGAGAGGAGGGTGTGTGTGGGGAATGGCCTACCTGTGAGGAGTCCATCTTCACTCAACATGAAATAACACACACACACAACAGGGGGCCATATATCCTCCTGCCCTTCCTGTGTGTATCTGACCAGAGCCGTGACACACAGTTCACAGACACTATCCTCGGGCGTTCTTCCATGGTGGGCCGTCTGCCAGTGTCCAAACTTAATTATATTATGGCAGGCCAAAGGGCATGACAGACCCGCATATATAAGCTTGTTGTCAAGGGTGTGCGTCAAACTGGGAGAAAGTAAGTCTTTGTGTTTGAAGGGCATTTATGGATGAGAGAATCTACATCTGCCATCAGTCTTGTTTCTCTGATGTACCCTCCGTGGTCCAACCAGCGATGAAGACAAGTTGCTAAAGTTGGAGCCAGGTGAACAGCAGCTCATCCTAACTAGAAACTCCCTGTACAACCTTCAACTGACCTGACTCCCCCACTCCCTATGTCTCCAAAGTGTGGGCGATGATGATGTGACGGCAAAAGCAGGAGATAACAGAAGCTCATTTCATGACTCTACTGATATGCCTCCACTTCTAAGAAACTGTGAAGGAAAAGTGGCACATATATGTGGCTGGCAGATAAAGCCATGAGTCATGATCTTAAATCTGCCCTCGTGTACTGTGTTTTGTTTGACATTTGACTTCTGAGTACGTATCATCCACAGGAAAATTACAGGGCGCTGGGTCGTAGGAGGCTACACTTAAACATTATTCCTGTTCTACACATAAAAACCATTGTCTCATGATATCCTCCTCCTCCACGAGCACGGCGTCTCAACTGTAGAAAAGTTCAGATTAAGTCATCAGTGAGATGACGTCTACCACGTCTCACACTTAATGAGTCGAGGAGAGATGATGGGGGAGAGAGGCTAGACAGTGGGGGGATGGATGAATTAATAAACCCTGCAGAATGACATCAGCATAGGAGGAAGTGAGGAGGGGGATGCTGGAGAGAGAAGAGGGGTTCATGCATTCAAGCTTCACGTCCTAAATCATACCTCTCTGCTGAAGCTTCCCAGGCAGAGATGCAGACCAATAGCAGGCAGGGTTTTAAAGAGACAGCGAGGGCCAAGGGGAAGAAGGGGGGAAATCTCCCCATGTCTGAGTGTCTGCCGTCCAGGGAAGTGGGGAGGAGAAACAGGGAAACTAGAGCTGCTGCTGGCGGCCCACTCGGCACAAAGCCCTCTCTGAAATCCCAGCATGCTGGCTGGTTGAACGGTGGGCCGAGACACCGACTCAGCCAGGAAGTCTGATTATGTCTGAGTGAAACCTTGACTGCGGCTGCATAACCTTTTGTTAATGATTATTACGATTACAGGGTTGGGTCCCAGGCTCACCAAAATGCACTGCATGGCGAGCAGTACGAATGCAGATCTGTCTGCAGCTGAATTAACCCATGCCTTGTTTTTTGCTGCATCCCTGTTGATATAAACACTACATGCTCACAAGACAGTCAGAATGTCCCACACTATTATTTTCCCCTCATACTAACGGGGTATTAGAGCTGACCACAGGCATGTATGCATGAGTTTAAGTCCCTGATGACAAAAGGCTCTTAAGGAAGAATGCAGAGACAATCACAGCATGCTGGGTGTCACAGGGATCACAGCCACGCTGAGCTGAGCCAGGAAGCATCACAATCAGCTGCAGCAGAGCAATGAGATGTGATTGCTAAAGGTTGCAGCTAACAGGCTTTTACAGGGCAGAGAAGGTTAAAAGGTCAGAATTAAATGTCATTTTGTCTGCAATGAGATTTGAGAGCCACTCCAATAGGTTACTGTCTTTGTTGGGTTCATTCACTCTTTTATATTAACATTATTTGGGCTTTGATGTAGGAATCATTTAGCTCATAAATGCAATTTCATGAATATATTCAATTAAAGTGGGTTGTGTGCACAGTGAGGGCGTGCGCGCTGTGCGTAAAGCGTGTATCCAGTGATCCAAGTGTATACACACAATCTTGATTTAGTGCCAGAGCCACAACAACATCCCACAAATGGATTTCCTTTTGGAAACTTGCTCTATAACTTGAACAGGGGGGCTGTAAATGTTCGGAAGTTTGGCAAAAACATACAGCCCCATGGAAAGTTTGCACGCTGCGCGCAACAGATTTGTGTACAACTGAGGGCATCGGTTCTGTGAAGCGCCCTGATACAATTATAAACAAATGTTTGAGAGTGTGCTGGAGCAATCTGCTGAGGAGCCCCTTCATATAAAAAACGGAAAATTGCATTCATTGTTTGAAATAAACTCACCTGGCAGAGTCAGCCAAATAAAAGTCAACAGCATATCCGAAGTAGCTCCCGTTAGGTCCGCTGTAAACAGCTGGGTTCTCCACGTCCAAGTTGAACGCCTCGCAGACAGGCTGAAGAAAAGTGAGTAATAGCCCGCTGATACAAAGGAGCGAGCGGGTGAGGAGGGCTGCTCTCCCCGGCGTCTTTACGCGAAATCGTTCCAAGCCCATATTTGAGAATAAATTAATCCACCCGAGTTTGTTTTAACTTGTGAGATTGTCCCAGTTTTGTGGCGCTTTCGATTCCGCAGATGAAGCCTGAAAACAGCGGTGGAATACGGCTAAAAGTGCATCCCTGTAACTCTAACCGGCCAGTATCTCATTAATGCTCCGTCAGCTCCTCTCTGCGCCCTTGCTCCTCTGTCTGCCTGCCTCTCTCCCGGCCCACGCCTTCTCTGCTCACCTACTCATGATACATGCAGCAGGGAGTTCCCACAGCCGTGACTAAAAGTTTGGAGGAGGAGCCAGTGATTCCCTAAAAAGAGGAAGGCACTTCTCATCCACAAACCTATCTCGGAGTATATGTTGACCAATGTGGTGGAAATGTGGTCATGTTTGAGTTCAGTGGTTTTGTTATCGGTGACATTTTAACCAGAAGAACAATGGTTAAAATAATCCTCCTTTCGCTTTTATCTCACGGTTATCTTGAGCTTTTGTGACTGAAGTTGACTGAAGACAGCCTGACAGGAGATGGGAAGGTCAATGACTTTTCACCTGGCCAACCAGTGTAGTGGGTTATGCCTCTGTGTCCATTTACTACAGAATAATCTAGTGGACAGGGATGGACTAAGTGGCCCTAATTTGACACCCCAAGATCAAACTGACACAACATGTTTGTACATCAACAAATCATCCAAAAAAAATTAAATCTGTCAATTTATATTTGTGCTAGGCTATCGAACAAAACAAATTTTGCAAGGTTTTCCTACCCACCTTGGCCTGCAAAGAAAAATTTAAAGTTCAACTAAAGTAATGATCAACCTCACCCACTGACCTAAAAGTCCAGTTTGGAGGATTTAGTTGGATATATCGGCAGAAATAGAATATAAAATAATATGTTTGTTTTCTTTAGCGTATAATCACCTGAAAATGAGAATCACAGTGTTCATGTTGCCTTAAACTGAGCTATTTATGCCTACATAGAGAGCAGGTCCTCTTCAGCGGAGATCACCATATTGGACTGCCATGTTCCTACAGTAGCCCAGAATAGACAAACCAAACACTGACTCTATATAGAACCATTCACGTTTTCGTGTTAGCCACCATAGTTAGCAGTGCCTCCACAACAAACCAAACTACACTGAAGAAACACAGATTTTTAAAAACTGCTTTAATCAGAGGTTTTGCAGGTTTAACTCACCGGGTACATTTGTTTTGGAGAGCAAGGGACCTCTGCGGATAATTTGGCTCCTGGTAAAAACCTCCTGAATGTCTGGATTTTTGAAATATCAGAGAAAAAAGGCGAGCACAAATTGGTAGGTGCTGGGCGAGTGGCCCATCTCTGCTGAGCCAAACTGCTAAGAGAAACACTGATATAAATCACCTGGTCCATTTGTTTTGGAGAGGAAGATCCCTCTGCGGATAATGCGGCTCCCCGTAAAAAAAAACTCCAAAACAACAAACAGTAAAGGAATCTTAACCAGGAGTTCACGCTTGCAAAACAGTCCACAGTGTATAACCCTGAATTAATTTAGAGCCAGGAGACTCTTTCCACAGGAGCACACTTGCACACCACACATTCACTCAAGGCACACTGTATGAACAATGACTAAGTATTTAACAAATCATTTTTATTGGTGGGCTTGCTAATGTTATGTAACATTATTATCAGGGTTAGTCTGGTTGTCCACAGGCCACAATTTATTAACAATCACGCGGTTAAAGCAGTCAACACTTACATCTCTGTGGTCAAATCAGCTGATGCTACACTATAGTGCACCCATACACTGACATTATACATGCAAACAGCCCGGATTGAGCTGACGGGGAGAGCTAGCGACGGACGTGCCAAAGTTAGTTTCAAAATGAGGTGTTAGCAAAGGGTATATGATGTCGGGACTGGTGAAAAAAGATCAGGAAATTACAGAACTTCGTGATGGCCAGTCCGCGACTGTGAGTGAATCTTTATCTCTTGAGGTTTTCACTGATAAGTCAGGATTTCAAACTGTTATAAAGCACTGATTTTTCACCCCTGTGAGCATTAAAAGCGTCAACCCTAATTTTCCAGTGAAAATATTGAAGTTCATCGCTTTGATGTTTTGCCACCAGGAATACAAACTGCCGCTGCACCACTGGTCAAATATACCTCCCAGATATACATTTCTCATAATAAAGCAAGGACTTTTATTTACACAACTCCACACTAATTACACCTTTTGTCACACACCCTTGCAACTCAATGTGTGATCCACATGTATTTCTATCTAATTACAGCGTTGATCTGATTCGGGCATATGATGTCCTTTGGTGCACTCTGAGGGGGGTGTGTGGGAAGAGTCTGTATTCCTGCCTCTGAGTCACACGAGACCGAGGAAAGTGGTTAGGCTGCGAAAAGCAACTACTTGCTGAAATGAGACCTTTAATAAACCTATCTTGGCCGGCTAGAATTAGTGACTGTTGGTTTAGCTGATTCACTGGAAGCCTCGGAGACTGAACACAGGGGCCAAATTTGGCTGTGTGGCAGCAGCAACATGAACTCTCTGTCAAGTGCTGCTCGTATTTATAACTGAAGCTGAAGCCGACACAGGGAGCAAAGTCTGACCGTAGACCGATGAGAGTAATCCAGGGAGTCTGGTGGGGGGCCAGTTCACAGCTGTTGGGGGCACATGATGGTTCAAAGCCCTAATCCTGGAGGGGTCTCATTCTCTCACTCTGTTTTTAGGTCCTCAGGATGAGTTGTGGATGAGGCTGAAGTCAAGGCGTGGTTGACAGAGAGACAGATTATATGCAGCCATCAAAATTATTTGGAGTCCAAACTTTCCCTCTGAAGTCATGGTTTGGTTTTCACAAACCCCATCAAATGCAGACTCTGAAATGAGATGTTTATGCAATCAGCTACAAACACACTGATGATTTAAAGGTCCTAAAACTTTTTACCAGTATTGGTGGGTGAACGGGTTATAACGTAACTTTTTATAACGCAACCTATGGAGTTGGGCCATATTTTCTGGGAATCTAAAGGACGTGACATTATGCACGTGCCTGAGTGCCTTGCCTCCCCTCAGTTCCACTAAAGCACTAACAGTGTGCAACAGTAGCTAACATAAGCTAAGAAACAGCTAACGTCAGCAAACAACCTGCACCACAACAAAGTCCACATATGCAGTGTTTTTGTCATGTACATTCTTTAGTGGCAGACCTTCATTTAACGCCCTGTAGCAGCCCCCAGGGTCTGGTCTGGGTGCCCTCTCGGCTGCCTTGAGTCCATGCTAGATAAGCACTCTGTTGCTGGCATTACTCAGATTAGACTCCATGCTGCTGGCCACGAGTCTGTTGTGAGCCCTGGGGCTGACATTCACACTGACTGGATTCAAGTTGCTACTGCGGCTAAGGTCCGAGCAGCTGTCTCTCCGACGGAATGAGTAGCGTCCTAGTGGTGGGGAGTGAGGCAGAGGGTCTGCGGTCTGTGCTAGCTAGCTAATTCTTGTCTCATTTTCTGGTCTGATAAACATAAATCCATCCATTTCAGTGCCCCAAAATACTAAAAAGAAATCCTAATGTTAGAGGACGCACTGACATGTGAAATATATTTTGAAATTGTGGTTTTATATGGCTAACGTTAACGCTAGCTTTCGGCTAACCTGGATGAATTGCTAGCAAGATAACATCGCAAAATACTGTCTTGGGTGGTTTGCGTTATTTAAATAATTCAGAATCCAGGGCTGATCTGGCTTGTAAATTGGCAATCTTGTCATTTGTAAAATACTTTATCAGCTAACGTTACAAAGCCACCAACACCAAGTCAATGCTGTGTAGCTTAGTAACAGCTAGCTGGCTATGTTAGCTTGCTAATGTAATATCATGGAGTCAACAGTCCAAATGAACTATATAAATATTGCAGATAGTAACGTTATTCTAACAATGATATTTTAAAAATGATTTTCCAGCCGTCTAGCATGATGACAGTCAGTGTTGTGATTATCGGCTGACGCCCAGGTTCTCACTCACGACTGTGGATTGTGAGCACCAGAGCGCAAGCAATCAGATGCTGACTGCAGCTCACTTTACGGCCTCAGGGCGAGGTCTCACTAATACCAATTTTCTGAAAGTTACATACGGGATCATTATATGGTATGTCATTTTGATTTGTGTTTCTGGATATCCAGAGAGTCTGAGGCCATTGTCTGAGTTTGAGTCTGAGGTTTCTGAACACTTGTATCAGCTCTCAGTCATTGTCTCCTTACGTGTCTGCCTGATTGAACAGCACAGCTTTAATGTTATCTATAAGCCCACGATTATCTATTTGACATTGTAAAGGATCAGGATTTACAATATTCCTTTAAAGTGTTGTGCCCTCTCTTTCTCTTCTCTCACATCTGTGTCATCCAGTAGCAACTTAACCTAGAAGCCAGTGAATACAAGCGTTCCGTTAAGCATAGTTTGTGTGTGAAGCCAGAGCCTGTTCTGCTTTCTGGTGACGCGTAATTGGGTCTGGCTAACTGAACAGTATTTTCCGTCTCCCTCCAACTGTGATTTCCGTTGAAAAAAGGGGGTGTGGTTTTGTTCCAATGCCTCTGCTTTGACATCATCATTTGGCCACTATGGCAACAGATCAGTGCAGCAAAACACTTAAAGAGCATTTCACAGGACTCTACACAGCTGGCCAACTATTTTAAATATAGACCTGACATATTGGCACTCCTGCAAGGCCAGGCACATACATGTATGAGCACATGCACACACATATACATTAACCCACTTCCTTCCTGGTAACTGAGCATATGTTTTCCAAAATACTGGGTCAAATTATTAATAGCACTACCACAAGGCCACTTAGTGCCATTATCTTCACACTTATACCAAGATGTGAAGGTGTGAACTCAGAGTTCTGGTGCAACTGCTTCTTGTTTGCTTTCTACCTAACGATTCTTTATGAGGCAGTTTAACAGATCTGGCTACACATGAAAGCAAACATCACTGTCACCTGTCTGCCATATCCAATACTTTAAGTGACATCTTGGAAACAACAAGTTGTGATTTTACAGGGTTTTGCGCCATACTATTTCTGAATTAGTGAGCTATTAAATTTTGTTACCACCAATCAGAATTTCTCCTTGCTTTCAGGCTTTGTGCTAAGCTAAGCTAAGCTAACCACCGCCTGGCTCCAGCTTGATATTTAACAGACAGATATCAGAGTGGAATTGATCTTCTTATCTCTCTCCCTGCAAGAA